TTTAAAAGAGTTTTGATACCGTTTGACTAAAATCCGAATGATTCATAAAATAAAACTCATCGAGAAGTCAATGATATTTATCGTCAATTTAAAAAAATATAAAAAATGCTCTCTAGAAAGTGGATATCAAAAATTTAAGAATTAGGTAGGTACCTAAGCCTAGCCTTTGCCACTTGAGTTGTGGCATCAAAATGGGTGTAGTGGTAAAGTGCAAGTCAAACACATTGTTCATGTAAAAACCATTGATATAATACTTACATAGATGAGTAATTACCGCCTAAAATCGTTGCTACTGCACATCTGTCCACAGGCATATGCGTAGCAAACGTCAATTCAGTGTTCAATGTGGCGTCAACCGAGTTGAACATAGCGACACATGACAGTAACAATCGCCAAAATGGGTAAATGCGTAGTGAAAGAATGCGATTCAAGGTCACAAAACCATAATAAATCATGCGGAATTACTTATCACGTGTAAGTTTATGGTTTTTGTATTGATAATATCGTAAATAAGGCTATAATTGAAATAAAACATTGATAATTGTAATTTAGAATTAGTGTTACCATTAAAAAATCATTTTTGTTTTCCCACATTAGTGGGAGAATTTATAATTTATGAAATAATATGCTTTATACTGCTTTTAAACATTTTGTCAATAATAATAAAATATAGGAAGAACGGTAGTTGTTAGGGCTGAATCGATCACTTTTTTTAGGGACCCGTTGAACGTTCACCTTCTGCCAAGCTCGCAGTGCTGGAGACTTTTGTATAAAAGAATTAATTCATTCATTCATTCATTTTTCTTAATTAATTATCAAATATAAATAACAATTGTACAAAAAAATATATATATATATAAAATAAAAAAGTAAATAAATATAAATAAAAAAATATAAAATACAAAAAGATATATATATATATATATATAATATATATATATATTTGATTTGTATTTTAAAATATTAAAAGAATTTGCAATACACCCTGGGGATTATTTATTATCAGTACAAGTTGATCATTCACTTTTACTATTAAATGCCATTATTTATACATAGGTAAAAATAAGATTGTATCATGAAAGTAAAATATCCACACAAACTTATAAAAAAGAGTCTAAAAGACAATTGTATACAAAACTGATGCTTCATAGCGGAATTTGATTTTACACTGAATATACAATAACCCTTTTAACCAAATATTTCCAGTTATTTTATTATTTATACCTATTCCATTCAATTCGAAATATATTATTTAAAATATTTAAATAAATTTATTTTATTACAAAATTGTTTTAAAAAAAAATTGTTTCTTGGTTGTTATGGGTAAAATTTCATAAGGTAGTCAACACTGGCCCACCATCGTAAAGTTATGTCTTTGTCTTTGTCTAATCCGAGCGATGGTATTGTTCTTGTCTCGCGTGTAAATGAGACATAAATATGTTTACTGTCAAATGTTTAGTGGTATCAAAGCTACGTCGTCAAAGTTCAAAAGTGGTTACACTTTTTTCGACGTGTGATAATGAGGTTTGCTTCTCTAGTGTTGTTTTAACTCAATGGTAAAAACAAAAAAAAATCCTTCGTTACATCTGTGCTTCGCCTGTTGGTTTTTAACAACTTTTAATAATATATCAATTTCATTAAATGGAAATTCTAGTTTTGATCACAGATAAATCATCATCTTCAACAGCCTCTAATAGTACCTACACTGCTGACATAGGCATCTCCTTAGAAAGGAGGTTTTGGCCTACTATACCACGCTGGCCAGACGGGTTGGTATACCTATAGGGTTTGTTTCAAGTTTTCCTTCTCTTTGCAGTGATGTTGTCTTGCATGATTTAGTCCTCTCAGACACCCACGGGATGAAAAGGGGTGGTGACTAGACATAGGCATTATTGCTACCTTTAAATCATATTCATTTGAGGCAATGATTACTTTTAGTCATAGTGATTTTACATATGATTGTGATTTCGTCATAGAAAAAGATAAATGGCATTAAAGTCAACCAAAATTCTTTTTATCAAAGATTACGAACTTAATTTGTTTTCTTTTAGATTAGGACCTTTCGCGAGTCTTGCGCTAGCGTAATAATAATAATTAAGTAGCAGTGGTCTTATAAATCAGTCACAGGAGTTATGATAGCATCTATAAATCATATGATTTAACTCATGTGATTGTGATTTCATTCCATCCCTAGTGGTGACACTCCGAATTCTTACTCAGGAAGGACAAATACCGATACCGTCAAACAATGATATTACAAACAAAAAAGAGGTAGATACACCAACAACGCACAAAACGTGAGGGTCCTTAGGACCACTACGAGTGCGCGCAATTAATTCGAGAAAATTCCTGTGTATTCCGAAAGTGCACAAAACACAAAAAGGTAAATAAAAATAGAGAAATATCATACTATAGGTAAGTGTATATTTTGTTCTAAAATACATTAATATAATAGATGATATGCGCGGTTAGGGAAACAAATATTTTGTGCGTGCAGTATGAATATAATGTATCTTCCTTAAAAATATCAATGGACTCATATCAATTTCGACTACGGGCCTATCTGTTAAAACAAACAAAAAAACAAAATAAGACAAATGACTATCACCTTTATGCTGATGACTTGCAAACATTCTGTCAAGTGACCGTTGACAATATATCTGAGATCTTGATGACATTGATTGGTCTGACAAAATTGATTTGACAGTAAAACTATCTGAAACAACCGAAGTCTATACCTAAATAAGACTGCCATCTGTAACTTTCAAGGCATCTATTATATTATTCAACGATCTAGGCCTGTACACCTTCCTTCCTCCGAGCTATTTTCCCAAACTACCTAGTTTGGGGTCGGCTTTAACTCTACTGCGATATGGCTGAATTTCGATATTTTAGGAGCGACTGCCATCAGATCTCCACAATCCAAATAAGTAGTGACTGCCATAGACATTCGTATGAGAATCGGGACCGACGCTTAACGTGATCTCAAGATTACCTATAGTACTTAATTCTATTGATGTTCGACTAAGTAATCTGGAAAAAGGATGACCTCTTTTTGGCACACCTGGGGTACCATTTATAAGTACCTACAGTAAAAAAAAATTGATTTCAGTAATCCAATTAGAGGTTAAGTATAAACTTATTTACCACTTTTTCAATGGACTACGAAAGGCTGAAAAGTTGAAACTTAACATAATTCCTGCTGACAATAACGACGCCATATGTTTTCTTTGGCCTTCCAAAGAAAACATATGGCGTAATAAGTTCCCTCTCCCCAATTTCATCCACCTGGCAGAAAAACTACCTCCAGGATATAAACTCCCCTGGCCAACCTGAAAGGCGCTTAATAGGCTGCGTACCCAGGTTGGCAGATCTAAAAACAATCTGTCAAGGTGGGGATTTATCGACCCCAAGCGCAAATAAATGCGACTGTAGCGCATCTCCACAGACAATGGGCCACTTGTTAAGCCCAGATTCGTGTACGCTTGACGACTTGTGTCAAGCAAGGCCAAACGCCATTCGCGTCGGCAAGCACTGCCATAGACATTCGTATGAGAATCGGGACCGACGCTTAACGTGATCTCAAGATTACCTATAGTACTTAATTCTATTGATGTTCGACTAAGTAATCTGGAAAAAGGAAGACCCCTCTTTTTCAGGCACACCTGGGGTACCATTTATAAGTACCTACAGTAAAAAAAAATTGATTTCAGTAATCATATTAGAGGTTAGGTATAAACTTAACAAAAACAAAAAGTACAAATTATTATTTTCAGAATATTGTGGGAGACTGGTACCTAAGCTAGGCTCGAGGCCTGTGTTTCAGGACACCAGGTCTCCACCACCAAAATATAGGATATGAATAAGTGTTTACAGTTATTGCAGAAGGATACAAGTTAAATCTCTTCCAAGAAATATAAAATTACACCTTCTTCACATACCGGACCCTCATAATCTGTTTGAAGAAATCATTTGTTCATGTTAAGTGAATATAATAAAGGATTATTGATACATAATATTATAATTCCACAATCACGTCAATGTTCCTACTGCTGATTCAGAGAAACGACTATAAAACGAGTAACGCGGTTCTAACATGATCAGGTTAACACCGAGCACTGAACTGCTTACATAGACTTCAGTTTATTTTATTTATTTAAAAGAAAAATGCAGTATTTGTCAATAGTTGTGTTGGTAGCTCTCGTCAGCGTGGCCATGTGTTTACCTTTGGAGTCAGGGGTTCCAGGTCAGTACCTATGTTGTTTAAGTTAGTTTTATATTCAACATGTACTTATAGTATTCACTGAGTTGAACAATATATTGAAATATCTGTGTACCCATATCTAACTACATAGATATGTTCCGGCTTGGGTGATCTAAATTTCAATAAATTGCTAATTGTTTAATAAACTGAATATTAATAATACTGTGTAAAGCATAACTGAGGGGACAAATACACTTTTTTCCCAATCAAAAATTTAAGCGAAGATCATACGAAATTTTTTTCCCTAATCATTCGACATAAAAAATATTCCGTAATATTATAATATGAGGAAAGATTAAACTGAAATTCCCTTTTCCTTATTTGAGGAAAGTTTGTCGTCTTCGGAAATCTTTTTAAAATTATTTTGTCTATTAAGAATAAACAAACCTAGTATAATGGGAAATAAAAACGTTGAGTAAACCTGCACACATACGTCTCATCTAAAAACGATTACATTCGCAAGGTGGAGTGATATCAGTTCCGGCGGCCAATCAACCGTTTAAGAGACATCACAGGATTCTTCTCGTTTGACTCTGCAAATAATAAATATCTGTATAACAGATGGCGAGCAAAAAGAAGTGCAGAGCCACAGCTTGCAGAGGAGGTTCGTTAACCCAATGTTTGTGTTTGGTTCCACGGCAGACAGCGGATTTCGTCGCATGAGGACCAAGAGAGAGTAAGTCAAATTATAAATTGTATTATATAAAATATCAGCAGTAATTACAAGTCGCATATAATACATTATATTCTTCTTTATTAATCATAAAATCTTAGTTACCTGATAGCTAACTCTAAATCAAACAACAGGCGACTTCCTTGTCCACCTTAAGAAAGCATACGCTCCCAAATAAAAAATAATTTTATAAATCAGTTTATAAATCCTTCACCGTGTGATGACGGATTAAGAATACAGGGCGTCACTACCCCTTATCATCCCGTGGGTGTCGTAAGAGGCAACTAAGGGAGCAAACTACGCAGGACAACAGCACTGCAGAGAGAAGGAAAATTTGACACAAACCCTATACCAACCCGTCTGGCCAGCTTGGTATAGTAGGCCAAAACCTCCTTTCTAAGGAGAGGCCTATGTCCAGGAGTGGACTAGTAAAGGCTGTTGATGATGATGATGATTATAAATCCTGGCGTTTTGGGATAACAAACATAACAAATACAATAAAATGAGAACTTTCTGCTTTTTTTTATTACTTTAAAAACAACAGGCTAGTTTTGTCAGTTGTAAATTACCATCAAGTGGAATTAATACAAATACAATTTGTTTAGAGCTGACGACATATGTGAAAAACTGGCGCTTTGCAAACTGCACGCGAGATCACGAAGCAATTTCGTCGCTGCTTTTGAATTGTACTTTGTCAAGTAAGTATCAGTGTATCATAGCAACGATTATTATATTCCATACCATTTTACTTCTTTATCCTTTCAGTTTCACACTTTTCATAAGTCGTTTTTTACTTAAGTATAAGTAAAAAACGACCTGCAACATCCTGCTCCCAGAATCAGGGGTTAACCTCACTCGGTTCGTGTCCGACATGCCAGTGATAGGTGGTATCCGAGGGCATTTCCGCACGGGAAAAAAGGGGTTAACCTCACTCAATCGGTAAAAAGCGTATACAAAACAACAAACAACTGCTGTGCTGAGGTCTCGGGAATAAATAATTGTATGCGCGATAACTCAGTAGATAGTAAAAGACAAGAAAAGAAAGTGGACTGTATAAAATGATTTACTAAGTTATGTGGTATATAACAAATATTATGTGCGTCTTGATGTGGTCGTTGAAGGCAAGTATATAAAGAAGCCGCGCAGCTCGCAGCGCGGGCGGTGCGCGATGTCCGATGTGTCCATCTCGCTCTGGCCGCCGCCGCGTCTGTGTTGAGATGTCTCAACATACTCCCCCGGTTGAAGTAGTTTCAACAGAAGATACAGGTAGCGGGCAGATGGTGTTGAAGGCGCGCCGAATGACACCCTTACGTGTCCGGATGTCGGCGACTCTCGCGATGCCATCTCTGCCAGGAAGCACCTTGACAATTCTTCCTAAAGGCCAAAGTAAAGGTGGTGAATTTTTGTTGATTATAACGACTAGAGTCCCTTCCTTTAACTCTCCCGACGATCGACGCCATTTGGTTCGCTCTTGAAGCCACAAAACGTATTCGTGGGTGAAGCGAACCCAGAAATGCTGCTTTAAGTATTCAATGCGGCGAAATCGCTGCAAGTTGTTGATGTTGGTAGACTGGATTTGTGGATGAGGCAACATTACAAGAGATCGTCCAATAAGGAAATGGGCAGGAGTCAATGGGGTGAGGTCTGAAGGATCGTTGGAAAGTGGAGTGAGAGGTCTTGAGTTCAAGATAGCCTCAATCTGAACTAAACAGGTTGTCATCTCTTCGAAGGTCAAATTTGTCAAGCCTAAAATGCGTCTAAGGTGATGTTTGACTGATTTAACTGCCGATTCCCATAGACCGCCGAAGTGTGGAGTGTAAGCAGGTATGAAGGAAAAGTTGATACCAGGATCAACTACGCTAAAATTCAGATCCTGTGAAAGAAGCTTGGCCAACTCGTTGAAAGCACCGACAAACGTTGTGCCGTTATCTGAAAAGACGTTACGTGGTTTCCCCCGGCGAGCAATAAAGCGGTACAGAGCTGATAAAAAGGCATCTTTTGTCAAGTCAGACACGAGTTCAAGATGAACGGCTCTCGTGGCCAAACACACAAACACACATATAAAGCTTTTAACGAGCCGACATCCTCTGCCCCTGCGATCAGCTATCATGATTGGCCCGGCATAATCGATCCCTGTATCCAAAAAGGGAAATTCCAGATGCAACCTTGACTCTGGAAGGTCACCCATCATAGGTTGAATAGTTTTAGCCTTAAATCTACAGCACTTCACGCACTGATGTGTGACCTTTCTAGCCAAGTTTCTACCACCAATAGGATAGAAGTGATGACGAATCGTGGCCAGTAGTAGTTGAGGTCCAGGATGTAAAAGCCTTGCATGGTACATGTTAAATAACAACTTGCAAATGATATGGGTACTAGACAATAAAATGGGATGTTTAACATTAAAATCGTAAAATGAGTTACTTAATCTGCCTCCAACACGAATTAGATTATGAGACTTATCAAAGAATGGAGACAGAGAAAGAAGTTTATTTTTAGCTGGTAACTGTTTACCTGTTGACAATAAACTATATTCTTCGGGAAAGGATTCAACTTGGCTAAGTTTACAAAGCAAATATAATGCATTAGTTAACTCAGAGGATGTTAGATGATCACGATTAGATGCCTGTCCCTTACATTTATTTATAAAGCGTAAGACGTATGCCATCATACGTTGTAAAAGATATAAATTAGAAGAGTATTTAGAAAAAGAGTTATTAATTAGATTTTCAATGTTATTAGTTATGTCAATGTGATGAGATGAGACTATGTCAGGTAAGAGTAGTTCCTTGTGATTTGGTTTAGGGAACTCAGGCCACTCAGTTGACGGTTTTCGAAGGAACTGGGGCCCTGACCACCACAACGAAGACGTTATTAATTTGTCTGCTCTGAGTCCACGCGAAGCGAGGTCTGCGGGGTTTAAAGAAGAAGGGACATAGCGCCACGGCATCTCCCCTACAGTTTCCTGAATTTCGGAGACTCTATGACGGACAAATGTCTTCAGTTGCACTGGTGCGGTAGACAACCAACCTAACACAATTGTTGAGTCACACCAAAAATGAACTTCATGAAAACTAAGTGTAAGTGACTGACAAACCTTTGTGTATAGCCGTGAGCCTAATAGTGCACCACAAAGCTCGAGTCGGGGTATGGTGGTTGACTTGATAGGGGCTATCTTACTCTTAGCGGTAAGTAAGTGTACATTCACCTCCCCGTTCTTAGATTGACTGCGGACATAAATACATGCGCCATATGCCCTTTCAGACGCATCGGTGAAGATGTGTAGCTGAAGAGAAGAGGTTGATTCACACGTGACCCAACGAGGTATCTTGAGTTTATTTAAAAAGGGCAGAGAGTTGATGAAGTCATTCCAAAATGTTCGATTCCCTTCAGGAACAGGCTCATCCCAGGAACATCCTAGAAGCCATAAATGTTGCATTAGCAGCTTGGCCTCCACAATGCAAGGAACAACCAAACCAATCGGGTCAAAAATTTGCGATATGACTGATAAGATATGACGTTTGCTGATCGTATCCCCTGACGCTAGGTTTATGGAAAAGGAAAACGTATCAGTGGAACACTCCCAGTTCAGTCCGAGAGTCTTAGACGTTACGTCATTATTACTAAGATTTACAAAGTTCGAACCAACTTGATGTTTGGAAAGAGCTTGCAATAATTCAGATGAGTTAGACTGCCATTTACGGAGGTTATATTTTGCAGACTCAAGAATGGCGATGACCTTCCGGCATTTGCTCAAAGTCTCTTCAACAGTTGAACCACCAGATAGGTAATCGTCCACATAGAAGTCATGCTCTATGGTGGAACAAATCGATGGGTCATCACACTCTTGGGCAAGTTGTTTTAAACACCTAGTGGCTAAAAAAGGGGCAGAAGCAGTGCCATAGGTTACTGTGTTTAAAGTATAGGTTTTTAAGGGTTGTGTTGGCTCTGATCTCCATAGAATTTTTTGAAGAGGTCTATAAATATCATTTACGCTAGTTACTCTGTACATTTTTTCGATGTCTGCGCTTACACCAATCATATGTTGGCGAAATCGGAGTAAAATGGACAATAAATCATCCTGTATAGGAGCACCGACCATCTGTATCTCATTAAAGGATATACCCGAAGTTGTACGAGCAGAAGCATCAAAAACCACTCTAAGCTTGGTTGTCGTACTCGACTCCTTCAAGACACCATGATGGGGCAAGTAATTTGAAGGTGTAGAAGAAGAATTTTGATGCTTGTACTCGGACATATGCCCTAATTTTATGTACTCATTCATGAAACTAACATACAAATTTTTGAGATATGTGTCTCGAGCTAATCGACGTTCCAGTGACAAGAAACGACGCCTAGCCATAACATACGAGTCACCTAAAGCGTTGGGTGACTCTTTAAGAGGAATGTGGACAACAAAGCTTCCATCCGAGCTGCGATAAGTGGTATTCACAAAAATCTGCTCGCACGATTGCTCTTCGTTTGTCAGCTTGTGTCGAGGCGCTATGGAATCCAACTCCCAGAATCGTTCCAAGTTAAGTTTCAAGTCATTTGCAAGTAAGCAAACATGAGACCTGGGGCCAGACTGATGTAGGACGCCTGAGACTATCCAACCCAACCTAGAATCGAATAACGTGGGCATATTTTTTCCCAACGGCATACGATCAGTGCCTATGACTCCCCAAAACACTTCCGCGCCGACAAGAATATCGATAGAAGACGGAGTATAAAAGTGGGGATCGGCAAGCACGACATTTGTAGGTATACACATGCTGTGAGTGTCGACATAAGTATTAGGCACTGATGACGATACTTTAGGCAAGATATAACAATCAATATTCAGTTCAAAGTCACAAGTAAGCGACTTTAATGATATTGAACATCCGTGTGAACATTCGGAAGATTGATTGTTAATGCCCTGTACCTTGGACAACACAGAGTAAATAGGAAGGTTTAGCTTACGGATGAAGTCCTTAGTTATAAAGTTTGCTGTACTCCCATTGTCCAACAGGACTCGAGCAGTGTGAAGGTTACCTTCGGCGTCCGACACCTTCACGAGTGCTGTGGAGAGTAAAACAACACGAGATGAACTGTTGTGATTAGCAGACAAAGCAATGGCCTGATTAGATTTAAAGGAAGGGTCATTCTCAACATGTAACAGCGTATTATGTTTTTCACGCCAGTATTTGCAATGACCCAGTTTGCATCTGTGAACATCGTGACCTGGTCGTAAGCAGTTTAGACACAAATTTGAAGTTTGAGCCTTTTTAATGCGGACTTGAACCGGCGAATTTTTAAACTTTTCACACTGAAAAAGAAAATGTTCCTGTTGACACATTGGGCACGATAATGATTTTATATTATTTTCAGTGGAAACTGAAAAAATCTTAGGTTTGGTGCTCAAACTTATGTCATTCCTCAATTTTGAGGACCTAGATTCCTCAAGCGTCTCTAGTAGGTCAGCTCTATTACTGACGAACCTGATAAAGACATCTAATGTTGGCGGTTCATGTAAGGAGTTTCGATGCTCTTCCCACTCACGATTCGTTACCTGATCCAACCTACTGGTCATGATGTAAATGATGAGTGTGTCCCAGTGCTGAACAGGCTGACCGAGAGTAGACAAGGCTCTTAAGTTTTTGTTAGTGGTATCAACTATGTGACGTAATAATATACTTGACTCTTTGTTAATGGGCTGCACA